GACAACTATATACCCAAACTGAAAGCCAACAGGGCCATATACTATCCAACTGTACATAACTGTCTACAGACCTTTAATAGAAATACAACTGTGCAAAGACGGGACTGAGCCACGTCAACCCATATATATACACAAGCATATCGTACCAAAATCAAAAGCAGCTCCGGATTAAGTGGAGCACGCCAACTCCCGCTGATCAAGGATCCTAATAAAGGGCACCGTCAGCTTGCCTACCTGCACCTGCGGGCATGAAACACAGGCCCCGTAAAATAGGGCATCGGCACGAAAAATGTACTGAGTATGTAAGGCATGAAAATCTGTACGTAAAAGGCATAAATGAAACATGGAATAAAGAAATCCATCTGTAAATCTGAATAACTTTGTAAATTCTAAAACATTTATAATGTTATGCACGTGTATATAAATGTCGTGTCATGCATGGGTATAGGTGTACATAACATCATCAAGCCACTGAGGGTATCTCATCATATCATCTCGGCCACTGTGGGCAACATCATCAACATGTACCAACTGATCAGGTGGTGGTGCGTATATAATGCCGTAACCTTTTTCCCATATCCCATATATATAAATATATACATATAAATACGCGTATATAAAGTCGTCTGGTCATGGGTCAATGTGCGTGCACAAATGAATAAAATACACGAAAATACGTTAAAAATATCCATATTCTTTTCGGATAAACTTTATCAACTGCGTATTATTTTGAGACCCATGAACAGAAAATATAATAATATGTCACATGGGGAATCAAGAATACAGAGACCCTAGTATTTCTATAAATAGAGTCGTTTATGAAAACTGTGTATTTGCTCATTTCTTCTGTATAATTGGACCATGCCAAAAAGAAGGAAGTGGTAGCCTTAACATACCTGGAATAGGAAAAACTCCGTATAATACTCTTGGAGAAGATTACACGTATTCCTCTAGAACCGCAAAATCTTACGTTAGCTACGATTCTAACAAATTCTCGTTGGAATTGTGTTGTTGCAATTTAAAACCGCAACATTGGATTGAATTTTTTTTGGCTTCTGTTCTTGAGATATTCCAACCAAGAATGGACGTTCCTTTCTTTATGATTTTGGACCTTTTTTTTTTGGTTCATTTGTCTAAATGAAAATGGAGCAGGAAGGGACGTTCCTTTCTTTATGATTTTATTCCATTGTTTTTGGTTCATTTGTCTAAATGAAAATGGAGTAAGATTGTAGTGAATATTTATATATTAAATTCTAAGTGTTTCTTAGTTAGCCACCTATCTTTTGAATGACTAAGAGTCATTTTATGTGGTCTAGCTAATGCTGCCACGTTACATTTCTTGGGGGGATTTAGTTTAGGCTTATCTCATAATTTTAATAATTGATTAGGTAATGTCCCGTTACCCGGTAATTAATTAATTACCCGTATAATTAAGAATTATCTCAAATTACCTAAAATACTACTCATTTTTAATATACTTTATCATTATACTACCGTGGTCATATGGTACCTTGCATGGTACTAGTTCATAATTATCGGGTATTATCGCTCGACCCGTATTTTATCCCAAATTGGCCACTTTCAACGAAACTCGTTTTCTTTAATTTGTGTATCCTTTATCCTTCATGAAACTTACTTCTCGCTTGTTATAAATAGCATAAATACGTTAACCTCAAGATAATCTCATCCCCGAGTTTACGTCGATGAACTGAAGACGAAACTTTTAACGTATGAAAATGCGAGATGTAACAGTTTGCCCACAAATTCCTTAGGTTCCATTCCGCTCATCTAAGCCAAAGCAACACCGAGTTGCCAATACCACTGCCTTGGCACTAAGCCGCCTTGTCTTAGAGCCTAGGTCTTTCCGCATTGCTTTATCAAGCTTTCGTCCAGCCCGCCTTGTTCCTTAAAGAACTTGGCCTTTGCTTGCAACAACCCACTCATACTTTAGTGTAGTCCGTCACACCTTAGCTTGAAACAGTGGTGCAGTCCGTCATACCTTAGCCTTGCAACAGTTTGTTGCCATTGACAACGCCTGCATTATTTTGCATGTTGATTGCCCTGCACATAGGCCAATGGCAAGGCCATCATGCTAAAGCCTTGCCACTGCCGCGCTATTTGCCGATCAGCTTTGTCAAGGGTCTAACAGCAGGTTACCAAAGAGATAGGACTAAAGTGAAAGGTGACTTCCCTAGCAACCTCATGAACACTATCAACGTGAGCTGTGAAACGCTAGGCGATGACGTTACTCCCACTGCCTCCCCTAGGCACGAGAGGTCGCCTCTCTCCATTGTAGCATAAAAAAACCAAATCAAAATGAGGCCTCCACGTCCATAGAAGAAGGGACGCGACCGGCCATGAAAAAGCTTCTCGTAGCGTGGTTGATCGATACACTAGTAAGCGTGCTCAACAAACCTGCTCTATGCACGACCATAGAGACTGCAAGAGCCCACACAGTGCAACGAACAGACGAGCAGGGCCACCAACTGGACCTTCCAACACTAGGTATAACTCACAAAGTTACTAATAATGCAGGTGACAACGTCCTCGCAGCTGTTCTAAAGAGGATGGAGGAAATAGAGAATGAAAATAAAGCGCTTAGAGATCAAATGAAAGAACACCAAGAACGAGTCGACAAGATACCGGGCGCCCCTAAGCTATTGCCAAAGAGGGATGCCGGTAGATTCGTAAAGCAACCGTACAGCGAGGGGGCAGCCCCGCATGCCATACCAAAGAACTTCAAAGTGCCACCATATCTCAGGATATACGACAGAACAACCAACCCCTGAAGATCACATAACTCGTTATGTCACCGCCATGAAGGGCAACGACCTCACTAAAGAACAAATGTCCTCTATTTTGCTGAAGAAATTTGAACCCTTACGGGAGGGGCATTAACATGGTACTCGCAGCTACCAGCCCGCTCCATAGAAACCTTCAAAGAAATGGCCGATATGTTCGTAACTGCACATGCCGGGGTCAAAAAAGACGAAAAAATAGTGAACGACATCTTCAGTAAGTGACCTCCTCGCCCGATTCAATAGGGTAAGGATGACCCTACAAACATGTACGAAGGGATAGAAGTTGCGGCCTCTCAGAACGGGTTGAGTAGAGAGGGTTCAAGAGCGACCGGAAAATTACTGAGCCGGTTGATGAAGTATCCTCCAACCACTTAGATGAAGTCTACAATGCTTACTATGCCGAAGTTCGAGAAGATAACGATGACCTCAGCGGACCAACTTGATAGCTCATCTCGGTACAAGCCGAGCCCAGGAATGACCGAAGAGATAACGTAAGACAGGATCACCCGGTCTCACGACAAAACAGGGAATGACATCAGCCATACGTCAGGGCTCCCGCCCCACATTCTTTCCGCTATGATGAAGGTCCATCTAGGCCGAGGACGGGGACTCACCGGAACGAAAGAGGTATGCCCCCTTATTATCTATTCACATTTTTGTGTGTCACCTACAGAAATAGTCTATACCTTGGAAAAACTCGGAACGAAGGTGAAGTGGCCGCCAAAGATGAGGTCCGTACCGAGCACCAGAAAATTCGATGCCCTCTACGAATTCCACCAAGAGCGCGAACACAAGACAGAAGACTGCATTGCCCTCAAGCAATAGGTCGTGAACATGTTGCAGCAGGGACACCTCAAAGAGCTGTTGAGCGACAAGGGGAGAAAGAACTTCGCCAGAGGTCGTGAACGCCAAGGCCTACCGAAGCCACCGTCACGAGTTCGCACCATCAACATGATCATCGGCAGAAGCGATGATGCCTCTATCAACAGCATTAAATTCATTGCCACTCACAAGCTCAAAAGATCTATCACCCACAAACAGTATGAAATAATCGATGAAAGTATCATATTCGACGAGTCAGATGCTGATGGTTTGACTTTCCCTCATAACGATGCTCTCGTCATTACTTTACGAATTTTAGATACTGATGTCAACTGTATCATGTAGACGATGGGAGTGTAGCGTGCATTATCCATCCCCAAGTCCTCACCCAGATGAGACTCGAGGACAAGCTAGTGCCGCTTCATCACACTAACCAATTTTAATAATGCATTTGATCAGACTTCGGGTGAAATTACACTCCCCATCTTGGCCGGCGGCATAACCCTGGAGACAACGTTCCACATCATGGATCAGGCCTCCGTATACAATGCCATAGTGGGACGGCCATGGATACATCCCATGAGAGCCGTCCCCTCTAGCTTATACCAAGTGATCAAATTTACAACACCTTGGGGGAGATTCAACATACAGGGAGAACAACGCACGTCCTAGGAATGCTACCATATCGCCTTGGACAGCACGATAATTCAACAGAAGAAAGACAAGGAAAAAGAGGCATATCAATCAACAGGGTCGAGGTCGACGCAAGAACAGACCAGGGATGTCATCATGGATCCCGAAACGGTTGAAGCCACAAACTCAACTATAGAGGACCATGACCCCATTCAATTAGACCCCAACGACTCCGGCAAAAGGCCTACATCGGCTGCAAACTCCAAGAACCAGGTAAATTTAGTCAATTTTTAATAACTAATGCAGATTTGTTTGCCTTCAGCTATGCAGATATGCCGGGTATCCCCAAGGAGATTGCCGCACACAAATTAAACGTCGATAGATTCTTCCCCCGATAAATTAAACCCCACCATCAACGATGCTATCTATGAGGAAGTGGAGAAGCTGTTAGAAAATGGCTCCATCAGGGAGTCGAAATACCCCAAGTGGATTGCCAACATAGTGATGGTCAAAAAGAAAAATGGGAAATGGAGGATGTGTGTAGACTTCATGGACTTCAACAAAGTATGCCCAAAGGATACGTTCCCATTACCACATATCGACCAACTCATCGACACGACAGCCGAGCATGAGCTGTTGAGTTTTTTGGACGCATACTCGGGCTATAACCAGATACTTATGAAAGAAGAGTACCAAGAGAAAACCACGTTTATCACCCACTGAGGAACATATTGTTATAGGGTCATGCCATTCGGGCTGAAGAACGCAGAAGCAACCTATCAAAGATTGGTCACTAAAATGTTCAAAGATCAATTTGACAAGACCATGAACGTATATATCGACGACATGCTAGTCAAGTCCGTGAAGGCGGAGGACCATATTGACCATTTGAAGGAAGCTTTCGACATACTGAGATGGTACGAAATGAAACTAAACCTAGAGAAATGCGCGTTTGGTGTAGCTTCGGGGAAGTTTTTGGGTTTCCTAGTGTCACAATGGGGGATCGAGGTCAACCCAGACCAAATTAAAGCCATCGAAGGGATACCAGGGCAACTAACTACTAAGAAGGAAGTCCAAAGCTTAACTGGTCGAATCACCGCCCTATCGAGATTTATCTCGCAGTCATCCGACATATGTCATATATTTTTCAGCATACACAAAAATGATAGCGACCTTGAGTGGATGTTCGAGTGCGTATAAGCTCTGGGAGAGCTAAAGTCGTATCGATCATCACCACCTCTACTATCAAAGCCCGAACCAGGGGAACATCTCCTCGTCTACCTGGACGCCTCCAAAGTGGCAGTAAGTGCACTTCTGATCCGAGAAAGTAAAGGTATGCAGTCTCCCATTTATTACGTTAGCAAAAAATTCATCGACGTCGAAACGAGGTACCCACACCTCGAGAAGCTGGCCCTGGCACTAGTCATAGCTTTACGAAAGCTTAGACCCTATTTCCAGTGCCACCCTATCTCGGTCGTCACCACTTTTCCTCTGAGAGGCATTTTACACAGACCCGAATTGTCGGGGAGGCTGGCCAAGTGGGCCATCGAGCTAAGCGAGCACGACATCACATATCAACTGTGAACAACGATAAAGTCTCAAGTGCTCGCCAACTTTGTCGCAGACTTTAGCGCAAAGATAATGCCTAAGGTCGAGAAGGAAGCCATCCAAGCTTCACTCCAAACAAAAGACCCCTAGGTCCTGCACACCGACGACGCATCCACCGCTTCTAGATCCGGACTAGGACTCGTACTCGAGGTCCCTACCAGTGAAGTAATTCGCCAATCCATAAGATTCCCGGATATGACTAACAATGAGGCCGAGTATGAGGTCATAATTGCAGGATTGGGACTAGCACTCATGTATGGGCCGAAGCGGTTGAAACTCCATTGTGATTCGCAGCTTGTAGTCAACCAAGTCATAGGACTTTCCAAATTAAATAACAAAGGTTACAAAAATATCAGACCGAGATCTACAAGCTGCTGCTCAGGTTCGTCGAATGCCTGCTCGGCCAGATCCTGCATGCTTGGAACGCCGAAGCGGACGGCCTCGCCAAATTAGCCGCAGCCACCAAAGCATCATAACTGGGGATAAAAGTGTAGTCCACCTCCTCAATTCCTCGCCAGACCAAATCGAGGTAAGATCTATAAGTTTAACTTGGGATTGGCTCAATCGTATCATCACTTACTTGGAGGACGACACACTCCCAAGCGACAAAAAGAAAGCCAAAAAACTAAGAATGCAGGCAGCCAGATACAACCTCCTCCATAGTGAATTATACAAAAGAACATTTGGGGCCCTTTGGCAAAATATTTGGGTCTGAACCAAATCTAGCTCGTCCTCGAAGAAGTCCATGAAGGCCATTGTGGCACCCATTCCGGTGATCGAGCACTCATTAGGTGTCTCATACAGGTGGGATACTACTGACCCTCCATGAAAAAAGATGACTCAGAATTTGTGAAGAAATGTGAGCAATGTTAGAAATACGCCCCAATAATTCACCAAGCAGGTGAACATCTCCACTCAGTCACCTCTCCGTAGCTGTTCATCAAGTGGGGAATGGATATCGTGGGCCCCCTCCCAGCAGGACGAGGTATATACAATTTCTTTTGGTTTTAACTGACTATTTTTCTAAATGGGTGGAAGCAGTAGCGTTCACCCAAATACGCGAATAAGAGGTAATCACCTTCATATGGAGAAAAATCATCTGCCGATTCAGCTTATCCAAGAAATCAGCTACGACAACGAACCTCAGTTCATGAAAAAGAAAACCGCCGAATTCTTTGAGAAATGGCATATTAAGAGGATACTTTCAATCCCGTATCACCCAACGGGTAACGGGAAGGCAGAATCCTCTAACAAGTTCATATTAAACATCATGAAGAAAAAGCTCGAAGACGTCAAGAGACCGTGGCCGGAATTACTCCCAGAAGTATTATGGGCATATAGAACCACCCCGAAGACAAGCACAGGGGAGACAACCTACTCTCTGGTCAAAGGGACCGAAGCAGTCATACCAGTCGAAGTTGGAGAACCCAGCCTAAGGTACTCCCACTAAATCGGTACAAGTAATGACGAGAGTAGAAGGCAAGAACTTGATGAGATCGACGAACGAAGAGATATGGCATACATAAGGATAGTCGCCCAAAAGCAGTAAGCGGAACATTATTACAACAAGAAATCAAAGGTCCGGTAGCTCAAAGTCAGGGACTACGTACTCAAAGCCAAAACTCAAGCAAGCAGAGATCCATATGAAGGCAAACTGGGAACAAACTGGGATGGCCAGTACAAAATTACAGCCAAAGCGAACAAGGGTTCGTTCCTACTAGAGACAATGGAAGGAAAACAATTACCAAACAATTGGAACATTTGCCACCACAAATAATTCAACTTCTAAAAAGAAGAGGCACCCCGAAGTCGTACTCTTTTTCCCTCACTTGAGTTTTGTCCCATTAGGGTTTTCTCAAGGAGTTTTTTTAACGTGGCAACGAAAGGGACACTTAGAGTCGAAGTATGAGAAAGAGGGACTGCTTTCTCTTTCATTGCCCGACTCCTCAATACTCTCCTAGTCGAACAATGAAGGGACTAGATAGACTAGGACTGGGACTGAAATGCCAGCTAATGCCCAAAGTTTGTAACTTTCTCCAATCATGTAATTAGAACAATAACGTTAAAGTAATAGAAACTTCCGTTTACCAAAACCGCCTTAACAAAAGGTTAAATTCGGCCCAACTCGAACAACACCTACCGGCCCTCGGCCACACCTTAACAAAAGGTTAAATTCGACCGAGCTCGAACAACACCTATTGGCCCTCGATCATACCTTAACAAAAGGTTAAGTTCGACCCAGCTCGAACAACACCTATCGACTCTCGGCCGCACCATTAATAAAAGGTTAAGTTTGACCGAGTTCGAACAACACCTATCGGCCCTCGGCCGCAATTTAATAAAAGGTTAAGTTCGATCGAGTTCGAACAAACACCTATCGACCCTCGCCCCACAATTTAAGGAAATGCTAAGTTTGACCCAGTTCGAACAAACACCTACCAGCCCTCAGCCACAACTTGGCAAAAGATCAAAATCATCCAAGCTCAAACAAGACCTATCAGCCAAATCTAAACAAAGAGGCATACTCGGCCTATACAAACAAAGGGAAGAAATATTCGCCCCCAAAGACACGACCAACTAGAAGATGACGAATAAAAAAAAGTAGAAATTATAACTAGCAAGCAACAAAAACAAAGTATACAAGTACAGAAACAAGTGACAGGTATGGAAGAAGGCACAAAAAACAACTTAAATATTCATATATGAATAAAGAGTTCATTAAAAGGCTCTTGAAGACGCCGGCAAAAATACACAAAAGTCTAAAGGGAAAACTACTAGCCCTCACCACCACGACTTTCTATGCCCTCATCATCTCGGTTCCCAACGTCCTCACTACCCTCGCCCTGAGGATAAACAGTGTGATACTAGGCATCCTCCTCAAGCCGGTCTACACCATGTTGACGGCCAATTTTGAACCTCCCTTTTAAATTAATTTATTTATATTTAATAATTTGCAATAAATAATTTCAAAGTATTTTCGAGTAATGAATATATATCTTTTAAATTAATCAAGCATTAGTTTCAAAGTTAATTACGTAATATTGACATTATGTAGTTAAAAGTATATATATACTATTTTAGGTTATTAAATATAATTTCTATACGAAGGTTTTATAATTAATTCAATAAATTATTTCTTAAATATTTAGTTAACTAGTTTACTATTTCAATAATTCAAAATTAATGTCCTAATGAAGTATTTTTTTTACAAATAATTAATTAATTGCAGTAATTAGTAGTATTTAAAAATTATAATTTTTACTGCATTTTATTGAAATATTTAAGTTTATTTAAATTAATTTCAAAAGGGAGAAAGACTAAAAGGCTACGATTGCAATTCCTTAACTTATTACAAAGTGGTTATTAGTTAAATTATTTTTAGCACAAATACAAAGCCCAATCCAAAATTATCCAAACCAAACACCCATTTCATTTGCCACCTTGGTGATCCGCGACACCCTCTCTTAGCCAATGAGAGCACGCCATGTCACTCGCCTCTCTCACCCACAAAGAAAGCACAACTGATATGGGCCGTCCGTTATCTAGATCAACGGCCCACAGTTTTGCCCCATCTTTCTCTTTATTTAAAACACCCAACAGATTTAATCATAAACGTTGGATCACAAGAAATCAACGGTCACCGATATTTTCCATAAAACTATTTTAAAATTCCCCAAAAACAAAATAATCAGAGCCGTTGATCAAAGGATCCAACGACTCCCATTACATCTCCTCATCTTAACCTAGAGACACCCTCCCAAATCTCCCAAAACCCTAATCATTCTCACACTCACCCGGCCGCCTCACTTTCCCCCTTCTCTCCCTTTTCTCTCAAACTCACAGGCTCAAATCAATCAAAAACCTTGCACAAATTCGTGCAAGGTCATGAATCCGTCAGGAAATCATCCATACTGTCTTCTTTGTCTGTGATTCTCGCTAAACCTTTCCCCTTTTATCGATTAAATTTGAAATCCCCAAAATCTTAACCCTAGACTCAAAGACGAAAAATCAAATCGTCTGGTTTCTATTATGTTCTTTCAAATCCAAATGCAGAAGGTTATTTGCTTTGTCCCTAGGCTGTGAGATTAATGATTCCCTTTCCGTTTTCACTGATTAAATTCGAAACCCTTCAAGTCTGAAAACCCTAGCTTGAAGATATAACTTCAGATCGCGTAAATCCTCTCTTGCTCCGTCAAATCTGAGCATGCATGAAGATTTTTAGAGGGTTCATCATGAGGATTCTTTACCCAGAGGTCAAACGCAGTGACCTTTGGGTTTTAAGTTTAACTGATCGTCCTATGCCTTCAACGATCAATCTCCCATCTCAGGTAAAACTCTTCGCTATTTTTCCCTCTATTCTCTTTCAGTTTCACTCAATCGTGCTCACATCATCACGTAATCGTCACCTTTCACTATCTAATTTGAATTCTTTGAAACCCTAATGCCTTAAATGGCTCTATAAATAGGGCTTTAATATTCTCACCTAACACCACGAATCAACCACCTAACACCAAAGATAAACACACACACAAACACTAAGAAGTTTAGGATTCCAAGCCTTTGATTTTCTTATTGTTTTTTTTTTGTTTTGCTGAGTACTATAGCTGGTCTAAACTTGAGGTTTCTGGGGTCTTAAGCAACTGAAAAGAGCTCTCGTTTGGTCTGCTGCTCTAAAAACGGTCGACACATCTCTTTTTCTTCTCTTTTGTTCATCTCTTTTGAATGCTGCAAATATATTTGATATATTCTGAGTATTACAATTGTTTTATGGTGTTTAATATGTTAACGCTTATGTTCTGTCAGCTTAATATCTACTTGTGATTAGGTGTCTTGCTTTGAGTCTTTAATCAATGACTGGTTAAACCATTAGTTGATTCCTGCTGATCTCTGTTCCTGAGTTTCCAACAGTCCACATGTTTAAGTTATTATATGTATATGTTCACATGAACCTCATAGCTTTTATTGGCCTGTAGTAATCTTTATCCTTATTTGTTGCATCTATGTAGTTTTTTTTGTGAGTTTTTGAAGTTGAACTTATTATCTGAAAATCATGATTGAATGAATCTGAAGGTGTTAAGTTTCTATCCTCTATCCTTTAACCTTAAGCAGGAACTCTAAGTGTTTATATGCTTTCTTCTCTACTTATGTCTGTTAGACTGTTTTTGAGTTGCCACTATGGTCTTTCATTTTGTTTAGTTGCTTATTGTTTCTGTTGACCTAATCTTGTTTGAACTAAACCTCTCTTCTTTTTCCTAGTATTCAATTGTAACACATAAGTTAAAGGCTAAGTTATCCTCCCTCACGAGACAATCATAGTCCTGTTTCTTCTCTTTGTTATAAAGACTGATATTTGGTCAGACTGAACTTAACTATTTTCTTGATTAATCAACACCCTCAGTTGCATGCTTACTTGGAACCACACCTCCTATCTCTGATTTTCTAGGGTTATCATTAATCTTTGAAAAGACTGATATGCATTTTATCTTTCAAGATTGTTTTCCCTAAAAGGACCTAGTTACTTTGCTATAACTAAGTGATAACTTGTAAAAAAGAAGCATGATCATCTTTGTATTCATGTACTAACCGCTTAAGTTTGAGTTAAACCTATCCTGATGCAATGTCTTTCCCTTATCTGTATTCTAAAAAAAATGTGTAATGTTTTCCCCGTCTACATAGGACCATTATTGATTTGAAATGTTTATGAAGTTAATTGAACACTGCATGTTCTTGCTCAGCTCCTAATTTAATATCTTGTCCAGAACTACCCTAGTCCTTGCTCATCTGATAACTTTAAAACCAAATCCAATCCCTAAGTCTCATAAAGATCCTTGCTGATACTATCTGAACTTAATGGTTTGTTTGAAGCTAACACTATTAGGAGCATGATTCCGTAGAAAACCTTAGGTATTCCATGTTACAGTATGTAGACTTGCAAACCTATTGAAAGGCTTGATCATGTCCTTGATGTCTTTGACAACTTTTGTAAATGATTAAGTCATGACTGTGTTGCCTGAGTTTTCATTGCTAACTCTCTTTAGAAGTGTTAAGATAGTAGTATAAACCTATGGATGTGCTGAAAGCAAAACCAATCAGCTCACACTAGGTTTGCCACACACAAGAAACCTCTGCATCTGCTAAGTCATTGCTGTATAGTTTTGCCTTTCTTGGAATACTACTCTGCCCTAAATTTAGACATTTGTGATATGCTTATGATGCTCACCTGTATGTGTTTTAGAATCAGATATTTAGAATTCATGTGGTATATGTTTGTTTGGTAATCCAGTATAGACTATATGTTCTTATGTTAGGAGGGAAAGTATATATTTTGTGGTAGGCTATGCTATAGCATTTAGTTTACATTGAAAGGACCTCATTGACATTTAAACCCATAAGAAAAACATGTTGTTAGTGTTTAAGGGTATTTGGGAGTGGAGTTCGACTCTAGATGTT